TTGGAGGATCCTCAAAGAGAACAACTGTTCGTAAAGTGTGCAGTTTGTCTGTCAAGTCTTAAAAGCCCAGGATGTAATCTGAGAGAGCACCATTTTAGTAAGCTGCCAGTACTAGAATGGTGTATATTATAGCTGCACAATGTGTCATTGTTATTAGATCTACAGCGTTAAAGCACCTCAGAGCTATAATAATGGATTTAATCGAATAGATCTAATGTTACAAGTCTAAAAACATTTGAGTGTCACAGAGCTATAACATCCAGTGCTACGGTATTATAACTCTGAAACACTCCAGTGTTAAAAATCTAATATGCGACACTAGATCTGAATGCCGTAACTAGTAAATTTAGGGGTTGCATTTGTGGCCTGTCACAGGAGCTCTGCAGCTTAGATTTGTATTTTAACAAAAGGGAGAAAAGCAAGTTGGGACTTAAGATCCAAAGAGGAAGGAAATTTAGAGCAGAAGTGAAAAGAGAAGCCAAGAGGAAAGATGACACCTGGATACACCCCTACTGAGTTTTGAGGTAGTGTTTTCCAATATGAAAGGAAAACATAGAGAGGAGAATGAAGGGAAACAGTAACATGTTAGTAACATGGAATGCAACAAGTTATACCTACCCAGCTAGTGAGGATTACACTAATGCTCTGTCCCTTGCAGGATGGCAACAAGTAACAGAAATTGTACTATTCCGGGCTTTGTTTGACACTTTTCTTCTCCACTGAATCTGAAAACGCCATCTTACAAATCAGTCCCTTGAAGAGATAGAGACTGCTACATGTAACATGGCAAGCTTTCAAATCTTCCAGAGCTCTTCCTTAGGCTTAGATGCCCCATGATTTTAACTGACCCCAAGAGAGGCCCAGAGAGAGTCACTCCATGGCTTTGGAATAAACTACAGTGGACCCTTGACTTACAGATGGCTTGACTTACAGACTTTTTGAGTTACAGACTTCTCTGGCCACAAAATTTAGGTGTGACTTGAAGACTGAGATTTGACTTACAGACCAGAAAAAACCCAAAATGGAACAAAAACGGCCTGTTATGGGATTAATCGGTTTTCAGTGCACTGTAGGTCAATGGAGACTTGACTTACAGACTTTTTGACTTGAGAACCGCCTTCCAGTACGGATTAAGTTCTCAAGTCAAGACCCCACTGTACTTGCTTGGCTCCTTCATGGGAAATTTTCAAGACACACCTAAAAACTTGGCTATTCCAGCAGGCCTTTCAAACCATGTCATCCACAGAGCCCATTAAATCCCAAACCAACAGCCAATCATGTTATAGATTACCACCACTTTAAATGTTGAGGTATTTTAGAATGTAACTGTATTTAGGCTTGGGTCAGAGGAGACCAGGAAGTGTGCAGGCAGTTGAAGCAGTGTCATGTAGCAGTGTTGGTTTGGTTAATAAAATGGTTTGAAAGCATCTCAGGCTCTGGCCTTCACGTCAAGACCTGTGGGACCTTTTGAGGCCCCTCTTCAATGGAGGACCTAGGGGCATCTACGCAATCAACCATTTATTCAGTGGGACTTATTTGCTGATGGTACATGTGGGCCACCTTTCTCTTAGGACTAAGCATTTCTGTTTGGGACTAACAGTTGGATTTTGCCCAATAAATATTAAGAAAGAAAATAACAATAAAATGAGAATCTGTAACCATGTACCTGCCTGGCCACCAGTCCCTGACTATAAGCACAGTGAATGGGCTGTGCTCATGAAAGGTGCCCCCAGTTTTCAAGAGTCCAACCCCTACACACACTCATGCACTATATAGTTAACTCAGTTTATTAGGATCTGTGTTTTTAAAGATTAGAAGGGGGGGAATGCTACGCCAAACAGCATTCCTACGTACCTTCATCAAGTGTTCTGCCCTGGTGCTTCCTGGACTGCTGAACGCTGAACTCTGACCCATGTAACTACACTGCTGCTTCTTAATATCTGTTTGAAAGATATATGTATAATATTTAGGCTACTTCAGGACTTACGATTAGCCATATGTACCCAGTGTGGTGTATAACACAAGAGAGTTAATCCTGTGAAAAGAGTGAATCAGATCGAATATGATTGATTCCTGCAATTTCTCTAATAAATGAGTCATCTTTGTTATGTCAGGTTCATGCACAACTTAAAAGAAGAGCTACATTAATAGGTTGCCCACTAAAAGTCAACCCTTAAATTGCAGACAAAGAGCTTCTGCTAGCAAGAATATTACATCATCAAAGCCTCCCACAGACACCCAGGAATAAGCTATACTTCTGTATGGCAGTGAAGCAGCAAATTGAATTCTCATAATATGTTTTGAAAATGAGTCTTGTTAGGTTTGATGAGGTGGAAAAGGTACTGAGTTCACTGGTTTGTTCCAATACATTCAGTACACTTTAGTTGGCTGTTTGCCACGGCTAATCTTTTTAATGGCAATGTAACTTGTAAACCCATTTGGTAGAGAGCTATGCATTTCAGTTTTATAATATCACACCAAGTAGGGTGGTAAATAAGTTTCTCTTCAAGCATGAAAGCACTTTCTGTTTCAATCCGACAAATCTTATTTTAAAACCTTCATCTTGAAAGCCTCAATAATTTATTTCTGAATTCAGCAATAGGAAACGATTTCAACCCTTTTTATACATACATCTATTATAAACAGAGCTGTGTTTTGTTTTTCAAAATGCATCCCTCCAGGGTCCTTTCTTTTCATACAGATTTGCCAATAAACACTTACTAATACATAATAAAATAACAGTACATAAACCCTAGGCCACATGTTTAAAATTTATTTAAAGCATTTATACCCTGCCTTTCAGAGCAAAGCTCTCCCAAGGTAGGCTGCCGAGATAATTACAGCCATAAAGCACTTTCTAAAATACAAATAAACAATTGAGGTATACAAGTGAAACCATATCAGTTGAAAGCAGTTCAGAATCCAGGTCACTACATGTTTAATAGTGTGAGAGTCTTCAGATGGGACCCTAGGTACTTCTTTCTTCCTTGTATTGTTCCACATTCTTTCTGGATTGTTTTGCAAACTCCATCAATCTGCTTACTCTCACTTGCTATGAATGAATGGAGCTGGTCTAAATTTGCTTTTTCAGGACAACCCATCCCAAGACAGAGTGAGAACTGCTTTTTTTTCCTCTTTGTAAATAAATGGAAATTTACACACCCACACCCAAAAAAGGTAGACTAGTTGCCTGAGGTCTACCATGTTGCCGCCTCCATTTGTTCTTATAAATACCATTGGAGTTATATTAAACTTGTCCTTATAAATATTTTTATAATTCTAATAGCTGGAACCCATTAGCATTAGCCTGACCTGCTTCCAAACATTCACAATAGTGGCTGGTATATCACATGTGACACCCCCCCATCCCATAAATTGTTTGGGGTTGCTTTCCATGTTCTCAAATGCCAAACTCTTTGGGGAAGGGAGTGATGGATTTAGAATCACACTTCTGTGAGTGGATGGGCTGTGCTCATGAAAGGTGCCCCCGGTTTTCAAGAGTCCAACCCCCTACACACACTCATGCACTATATAGTTAACTCAGTTTATTAGGATCTGTGTAGCATTTGGAGGGTGTCAAAGGGCTACTGTGGGATGGACTGGGCATGCATTTCTGCTTGTTGCAAAGTCACTACTGTACTTCTCTGAAGTTACCGTAAGTGGTCCCACTCCCACTTGTAAGGAACTGGTAGCATACCTAACACAGAAGACAAATTTAACATGGGATCCTGCAACAAGGCACTTCTGGGGCCGATGTCGCTGCCAGAGTAAGAATATTGGTCTTCTTCGCTATTTTCAGGTCTGTGACTGCATAGATACACATACTTCTGTTTGTGATTCTTTGTAGAAGAATATCTTCTATGAATCAGAGGCAGGAATGGGGGCTTTAATTTAGTGGGATTTAATTCAGCCTCCCATGAACAAAATCAGAAATTGGGAATAAATACTAAGATATTATTTCTGTTCTAAAACCAGGGGGAAAAGACAGACAGTTTGGGCAATGTAAAATTTTATTTTTTATGCAGTGAATCTTGCTAGATGCACTTCATGGATAACAGGCCTAAGAATTGTTGTTACCTACATTGATATGGAAGAACTCAGGGTGCACTAGAGATCTGGCATGAATCCGCAACAAAGACTAGATACTGTATACAGAATCAGAGAAACTTATGCAAGATTCACAAAAGGATTGGGGAACTGTCTTGGATTTTTAAATGAATTAGGTTGCCAATAATTAAAAAATCCTCGTTCTGTTCTAGGTGACACACAGACACTTCCTTCAGGCACAATGAGAGTATGTTTAAGCAATAGGGAACAGAGGCAAGGAATTATTTTATTTATTGCGGATGACATCACTTCCGCTAACTAGTGTAAATTATGCAAGAGGATTTTGGCCAGTATGGAATTGATTGTATACCCTGGAAGTAAGTAGGCAGAGGTTTAAACAAAATTAATACATGGATGCATAGCTCTCACCTCATTTTCCTAATCTCCCTCCCCCCAACGTCACAGAGCATGATGGTTGGGAAGTTATGGGGGATGTAGTCAGGGGAGGGGAGGAAGTGACTTTTCTAAGCTGTCTTTGTATATGCACTTTTGTAGTATTGAAGTATCTAGTGCTGCAAGAAGTTCCCAATTGCTTCACCTTGATCGCAGCCTCTTTTAAATATATGACAGTCCCTTTCTCCCTCGTGTGTTATTTGTATGTGATACGTGGTGTGCTTCTCAATACGAAGGAGGCCTACCATTCAGTCAGATCCTTACCCTAAGAAATGCTGGGTTTTGACTCCATCTTACATAAGAATATAAAATATAATCTTGAGAAACCTCAATAAATCTGCAAGAGCAACTTAAACTTATGATAGGTAAGAATTAAAACACTTGCATGAGTTTTTGTTTTGTAATAACGTAATTGTTGACTGATTGATTTGCCTTGCAATAACTTGTAACTATTCCAGCTGCTAACAAATGTTGCATCTGAATTTTCTGTCTTTCCCTAGCTATCCATATAGTGAAGATTGTAGCCAGGGAATGCAGTACATGAACACTAGATGTCCAGCTTGGTGCGACAGGATCCTTATGTCACATTCTGCCAAAGAGCTGATTCTAAAGGTAAGAACTGTCTTCACAGCACAGGTCATAACTAATCAGAATTGCCAGGAATCTGCTTAGGATAGCTAGAACCTGCTTGCATATGATTTCATTTTTGAAAACAGGTTTTTAACTTAAAATTACATGTCTGCTATGTTCGGAGGTCAGAGAAGAAGAGGGAGAGCAGACAGTGGAAGCGGAGCAAACAAATGGGAAGATAAGAGAGGCAAGCCAGAGGTGGGAGAAATAACTTTGCTAATTGGTTAGAGGCAGAAGACAGTCAAGACCAGGCAATAGAGCATAGTTAGTTATTCTGGCTGTAGCAGGAAAGTGGTAATATGCTTGCTAAGCCTTCTTGGTGCCTAAAGAGCTTCAAATTTGGAAATTCCACCAATCTAGAATGGTGACAGGAGGGTTTGCCTTAAGTAGCAGGTTGCCCAAAACAGCAAATTCCCATCCCCAACCCTGAAAGGACTCTTGCTGCTGTGGTATTGGGAAATATTTTAAATGTCTAATTCGGAGAGATTCAAAAAGCCAAGTATTAAAAGGAGGGGGGTGACCTGAAAGATGGCCTGTGCCACTGCTCCCCTTCAGCAACAGACACTTGGGACAGACACGCATGCTCTGTGACCATTTTGTAGATTTGGCACATCTGTGCTAGCGCTTTTCCCAGCCCTTGGTGAAGGGCAAGAAAGCTACATCGGCCTCCACTTTGATGTCAAGGGCACCGGCATTATGATGAAGGCCAGCAACATTGTCATGATGTAGGAAGTAATTCTTTGCTACCTGGTAGCATATGAATGGAGTAGGGCTGAGGACATGCAAAGGCTGGGCATTGTCAGCACAGAAAGTAATATTATTTTTAGCCTGCTCATGCAATAGTCTGTACTCTTCATATATTACTGGATCAGCCCTTTGTAATCAGTGATGGCATATGAATCAGACTTCCTTTTGAATCACACTCCTATCACTAATCATAGCATAAGATTAATATATGTTATGTAATGTGAGTCACAGTAGTTACAACCAAAATAAAATTGAGGACATTCTTTCCACACCTGTAATATTTATTATGTGATACTGTAACAATACCCCCTGTAATTTCTGTACAATGCCAGACAAACCATGCACTGGACACATTCAACCAGGCCTGAATGCAACAGGAGAGTTGATTTAAATGATTTCAAGTGCTGTGGGATAGAGTTGAACAGATGGCTGAATCCTACTTGTGCCATGCATGCACTTGCTGTGTGTCTTTGAATGTCGCTTTCTCCCATCCTCAATTTACCAGTCTGTCTAGTTGAAATAATCATTACTTACCAGATAAATCAACATTTTAAATTCAAATTAAAAGGTACTCTGTAGAGAAAACAATATGGTCTGAAATGTAAAGAACCACATTTAGAGTAACTTCCTCCTTATCTGCTGAATATGCCAGCACTGTGCACTCCACATATGTTAAATTGCTTGAGAGGCCTGGGAGTGCCGTAATGAGGAACGTTGATAAGGCATTTTCATGTAACGGAGGGATTATAGCATTCCTGTGTTTGGCTACTCTGTACTGGTTCTGTCCAGTACAGAGCAACTTAGATCTGTGAAACCTTAGGTTTTCTTCTGCTGGAAATTAATTATGTCATGTGTCATAAAGAAGGTGGACATATTTTTCTCTCAGTTGCCTTTAAGAATTGAGGCCACGCAGAAATTTATTGTAAAGTATTCCCCTAATCCCATTATTCCTTTCGGTAGAAGATTTACTTATTAAATATCTGGCCTGCTAAATATCTAGAAGGCAGATGGGCAGTTGTTAAAAGCTCAGGAGCCCTATCACAACATGCAAGGAAGCAGATCCTTGTCTCTTGGCCTCAGTGTACCATCTGTAAAATGGGAGTAAAAGTAACCTGTTTCCCAGGTAGACTAGTGGAGGCAAACAAAGTGGAAGGCATGTCTTTGGATTTTTTTTAGGACTATGTAAAAGTAGTAGAAATAATATTTCAAGCAATCGATGTTAGCTCTACCAGTTTGGGCTGCTTTGTTTGTATCGGGCAAGGTTGCTGATTTTTTTTTTAACCTATGCCCAAATTAGCAGACAACCCAAGATGCTAGGCTCCACATGGTGGGCCTTACAGATTGTACAGACATGGGGCTGTAAACAGCTCTAACACAACCTCATTTATCATGCCACGGTCGGTTACCTCCCCAGCATGTTATTTTATGCTTGCTGAGCCCTAACACACCAAAGGTTGCCCGCTGCTCAGGAGTCACAGAACTGCCTGAGCGCATGGCGTAATGAATGCTCAGCTGAGTGGAGCATGTTTCTGTTCATGCGCTGCTGTAATTTGTTTATCTGTCTAAAGATTATGCACTTGAAAATCCACAATTTGATGCTGCCTTTGTAAATTATCAAGTCGTTTTTGATGAATGTATCTCCACTTCCGATGGCGGTGGCATTATGAGCTTGAAATATTGGAAAGTGTTCATGCATACAGTGTAGAAGGTTAGGGTTTTTCATATGTGTGTGTCTATCTGTATGTGTGTGTGTGTGTCTATGTATAGATACAGATTCCTAGACAGGTATGCTAGGAAGCAAATATGACCTTAAGCTTCCTTGTTGCATTAAAGATCATTCAGTTTTTAGTTTATAGTCCCAAATGTAGCTGTTTATATATAAAGTTCTTACCCAGTCAGACTTGACTTGATTATAGATGAGGGGAAGCTTGACTGTTTTTCATCTGAAATAAATTAGGATAGGAAACTATTTGCAAGCGCAGCTGTGGTTATGTGCTTGTACGTATGTAGGAAAGATCTGGGGAGAAGGGTGTGGGTTCCAGATTTAATTATCTTGCAGTTTAACCAGGCTGAGAAATTGCAAGTCAGTCTCTCCCGCTTTCTCTTAAGTGATTGCTTTAGCAGGGTCATTATGCTAGATAAACAAAGCAGACGGTCAGCAGTGGTCGATGCAATAGCGAAAGCTGTGTCGATTTCATTATTTGTTTGAAGAGGGGAAGATAAAGGGGATAAAGTGGCAGCACAGAATAGAGCGGAAATAATTCACAGGGTTTGATGGAAAAAATATCCTTCAGTCAATGGAGTGGGCAGGTGGGTGTAAAAATTAACATTTCAGTCAATGCGCATGGCAAAAATCATACTTCAGTCCTTACCAAAATTCCTCTTGATTTTTAATGTGTCTGCCTTCCACTTTAGCTGCAGTGCTAAGGTAAGCTTCACTGAAAACAGACTTCCACATAAACACGTTTAAAAGGAAATGTTTCATAGAAGGAAAAGCAACATGTATTTCCACAAAGAACAACATACCTAACATATTTCCAATTTTGTTTGTTTGCTCAGGTTTTCCATCCTTTTGCGCAACCGCCGGCTTTAATTAGATCTAAATAGGGTTTATACCAAGCCTGGTAATAGGATTAGAGCTGAAAGCATTAATCACTGTATCAGTGTGCTTAATCGATTACAGCATTTAATAGTGGATTTTTTAAAAGGAGTTGGAAAAACCGTGAAGATTGGCAAGTGTTTTCAGTGTAGACTGCAGGATAGTGCTGAAAATGGCCTAAGTACATCTGTCAGTTTAAGCATTGTGTAGGAATAGCCCCAGCTGAAATAAACCTAGAAATAAGTTGCACTGAATTTCATGAATAAGGTGTTAAAAGTGCAGTCCTGTCCATGTCTTCTCAGAATAAGTCTTACTTATTTCAACAATGAATAGGCAAAATCCAAAGGGAAAAAAGGAAACAAAACAAAAAAGACAAAAACCATGTGGCACCCTAAAGACTATTTTAATGTGAGCTTTCACAGATCAAGTCTACTTCTTCAGACATACAGAATAAAATGAAATACAGAATTCACAAGTAAAACATTCATTGGCTTTAAGAGTCTTGGATATATGGTTAAATCTCAAGTACAGTCCATAAGATTAGCAAACTTGGTTGATGGGTTGGTTGGTTGGCTGTCTGGCTGGCTGGTTAAAGAGAAATTTGCTTCAATTAATAAGGGAGCAGAGTCACCTATACAGTACTACATATGTTTAATTGAATAATTAGCTGGCCAGTCAAAACCAAGCAAGATTGGCAGCCTCAATCAATTGACATACCTGCATGGAGCATGTATTAATGACTGCAGTTTTAGTGATGCAAATACTTTGAACTATGGATATAATTCAGCCACCATTAAATTCTTTTAGGCCTGGCCATTTTAAGCCTATGTTCAGCTTCTTCACTTTAAATATGCTTGGCTTTGGCAAGATTGTAGAATGGCCAGCTATGAAAGGTATCAGGGCTACTGCACCTTTCATGTTTCTCTAGAAGAGGAAAATTTAGCAGGTGCATAACATCCTGTATAAAATTTTAAAGATGTAGGAATTCTCTCTTCTTTTGCATTTCAGTACCCTACTGGATAGTGCCCTATATTATAGTGAAATACCAGGGCTTTGAAATATTTGCAACCTCATATAAATTAGTGAACAATTTTGCCACTGAAGACTTTGGAACTGTGAGGGTTGCCTTGGAAACAATGCATTCCAATTTTTCCAGGCAGCCATTTCTTCTTTCTACAAACATTTGTATATATGAACAGTGATATCAGATACATTTCTACTCAGAATTTAGTCCTAGTTCTTTGGGAGTTTACTTCCAGATGAGTGGGTGTAAGATTGTGTTGCCTTAATAGAGAAAGAATGTTAAGTTCCTAGATCAGTCTGCACTATGAGTCAATACCAAGGGCAAGATTTTTCAAGTACTGGCTTCCCCCTCCTATGTCATGATATTTAAGCCAAGTAACAGTGTCCAGATTCAGTGCCATTGAGACTTCTACATCTCAACAGTCCTTATTTCCATAACTTAGTATGTTAGTGGTTACCTCACTCCTCTCTGCTGTCCTGCCACCTTTGTTCCTGTGCCTTTGATCTTGGTACAAACATTTTCCAAAGAATGACAGAGCTAAATCTAGCTTGTTTTTGTTTTCCCCAGTCAGAAAACGATGAAAAACAAGTGGTGTATGACCATATTGGACCAAATGTCTGCATGGGGGACCACAAGGTAAACCTAAATTCAGTTTTAACAAGTGCCATGTCTATGTGTTGTGTGAAACCTAGGGAGGAGCCTGGTATCTGAAAGCACAGCACTTCTGTTATATAGCCAGACTGATTTGGGCCTATGGCTTGTATCATGCAGTACAGATGAAGTAAGAGCATGTCCAGCTCATACTTCTGTTATATGTTCTCCCTGGTTCATTCAATGCATTTTTTGGGGAATCTCAACATTCTTGTTTTCTATTTGTATCTCTTCCATAATTTCCTCCATCTAACAGCAGAAAATGTGTTACAAAGGAGGGCTAGGCGCCTTCTATCTGGAAGCATTCTGAAATATGTGTAGGATTTATTATCGAAGGACACCAGAGTCTTGGGCTCATGATCTGAACAGGAGGACCACCCCACCCCACTATTTCAGGTTGCCCCCTCCCTGTTTGTCACAACCTGTCACTGCTGCAAGAGTGTTTAAATGTATCCCTCATTATGTTTTTGGACTGCTACTCCCATAACCTTTTACCACTTCAGTAAGGATTTAAAAAATAATAAGCAGTCATCACTAGCTAGATCTGAGGGGAGTTGTAGTCCAGAAGTATCTGGAGGTCCAATGTTGTCTTCAGTCTTATGAAGTAACTCCCATGCAGGAAAATAAGACTTCCCTTTGAGACAGCACGGCATGGATTAGTGCTAGAAAATATTGGAACAAGCGCTAAATAACTAGAGGTGTGCAGATTGATGATTCTTTTAATGACAGCTTTCAGAATTCCCGAGTAGCAATGGCTTTGCTCAGGTGTTTGGGGAGCTGCAACCCAAAAATGCAAACATGCGCACCTTAATTTTGAACTAACAAAAGTCTTGTAGCACCTTTTAAGCTAACTAGTTTTTATTTTTCATAGGATTCCATGTGTCCAAGCACACTTCTTAGAAGTGTGTCTGGGCCCAGAAAAGATTAGGGTGGGAGACAAAAGGAAGAGCAAGATGAAGAGGAGTATATTTGAAGTTCAGTTCTGCTTGCCTGAGGAGTGGCTTGGTCTAGAAAACTTTGCATATGTGATCCTGAAAGCAATTATAATAGTACTACCTGCAATGCCCCCTAAAGCTAGCAGAATATACCATCCAAGCTCTTCATGTTTCTCCCTCAAAAGATGCCCAATGGTTTCCAGGGAAATGAACCGTCTGGAATATGAGTATTGTTCAGAAGCACACAACTGGGATCAAATTAACTTTCAAGAGACACTATTGAAGAAAAAATAAGTAAAGGGTCTTTTCATGTGTAATTTTTTGTTCTTCCTGCCCTTCAGGCTTCATTGGGGGCAGAAGGCCACGTTGTGTACGTTTTCAGAAACGATATTTATTTGAATACGAATGTCAAAAGAAAACACTAAACGTTTCATTTGACAACGACGAGAGCGGGAAAGTGTGCCTTTGGGTTGTCATTTAAAGTTGGGACTTATGCCCACTAAGCTGTAGTTCTCCGAGTCCGAGAGGACTCGCACCCCTAAAGCGCGCTTGGCGGGAATTATTCCCCTCGCCTGACAGGTAACGGAGCTTGGGATGGAGGCGGCCCACTCCGGGGCGAGGCTGCCGGCCTCCCCCACCGCGCCCTCTTCCGAGGCCTGTTGCCTCCGAATGAAACCCCGCCGGCTTCAACAGCGCTGGCTTCTTCACCACCACCACCACCCCCAGGAATGCTTTATTTTTCGATAAAACACCAATCAGCGGTAGTCCGTGGGGATTTACCCCTAAAGGGGCCTGGACTCGTTGCCTTGCTTTCCTTCCTGGCGAGGAGGGCCTTGCCCATGAACCCTGGGGCTGCCTTGCGGGGAAACAGGCGGCGGAAGGCAGTGCGAGGGCCGTTGTGTCCTTCTGGAAAAGATCCGACGAGCAACTTCTCCCCGCCGCTGTTTTCTTTCCGCCTTTCTTGAACGGGTTCGGGGCGGGGGGAGAGGGGGGAGAGGATGATGATTGTGCCTGGAAGCGGCTCCACCTTCTAACCTTTTTCTTTTCTCCTCCTTCTTTCTCTTTCTTTCCTTCCCCCCCCCCAAAAAAAATTTCCCATTTTCTTCTTTCCTCCTTGCAGCCCGTGTTCCTGTCCTTTCGAATAGCCGCTGGGGCAGGTAAACCTATTGCCAATGTACACAAGTGTTGTGTCGTGCAGTGATGTGGTGGTAAATATCACATTAGATTTTTCTTCTCTCTTCCCTCCTTGCACCCTCCCCGTGCCAAACCCTCTACCCACCTCCCTTTGGTTTCCATGCCCCCCATGCATGCATCCTTCCTTTCCCCATTGCTATCCCCACCCCATATTTTTGTGGAGGGGGGATTTTTTTAAAAAAAAAATGTCTTTAAAACAAAAGAAAAAAACTAGCTGCCAATCAATTCTGCAACAGGAAAACGATGCCTCCGACACGAGAAGATATTTCGAGAAAGCTCGTCGTAGCGACGAGGGAAAAGGAGGACGAAGGCCTGGAGGCCCATCCCATTGCTTAAACCATGACAGCTCTATTCATCCGTCGAGTCCTGCGTGCCATGTTGTTTTTATCGTTGTTACTGTTGTTATTATTTTCGGCTGTTGATCATACACTGTTTTCTTCAGCGACTGGGCTTTAGTCCGGAAAAGTAAAAACTCTCATACCTCACGGTCTAGTTATATCCTGTGACATCGAATAATGGACTTTTTATTTTTATATGGAGATGCATATATTATGCCACAGTCTGGTTGCCAAAAACAGAGAAAAGAAACCCAAACTGTCTAGTTTGCCGCGATGTTCTGTGTTTTAGACTTTCACTGTGCTTTTTTTTTCCAGGTTTCCCAATGTGAAATTATATAGATTTATGGTTTCTGTTTAGGGGGGAGGGGGGAAGAGCCAGCATTAGAGGGGCTGACGGTTATTTGGATTGGGTTCGGGTTGTTTTTTTGTTTTTTTTTTTGTCGTTTTTATAGACTTCGGTTTTTTCCATGTTATTTACTATACTGCCATGTTCCATGGTTTTTGAATCACACGACAGCAGCTGCTTTCTATCCGTGTATATATTTATATATTTGTATGTGAGTGTGTATAGAGATATATATACACAGATATAGAAATAATTTATAATTATAAACCGTTTGTCTTTCCTGCTACAAAAATAGATTTGCCCAGTTTAGCACAGACTGTTCCACCCTTTCCTAGCAGTAAATTCTTTTGGTGGAGTCTGTGAGGGCTTTAAAATGGAAGTGAGATCGCGCGTAGAAAAGGCTGCCACCCACCGACACCCCCTCCTGAAACACGCCAGTCCTCTGGAAAGCGATATCCGGGGCAGCCCTAGCCAGGGACGTTTTTTCGGACGTTACATCCAGATGGTTTCTTAGAGATCTGCGGGTTTACTCCGAAGTAAGTGCGGGCAGGATTGCTGTCGCCATAAACCCGCTTTCTTTGGGAGCAAGTGAAGGTGGCATTCTAGTCTGTGGGTCTTACATCCGAGCAAACGTACCTGGGATCGGGGCCGGCGTCGGAAGTGCCGTCTGGATGCGTGTTCTAGGACGCGGGTGTTCAGCCACAAGACTCGCTCCCTGTTGAAGAGCGAGCGGCCCCGAGGTGTATATATATGTTGAGCCAATATACTTCTCCATTCGTCCAATGTAGTCACGTATCGAAGCAGCAAATTCTGGTGCCAAGTATCGTAGCTGAAATAAATAAATACAGTAAATCTAAAAAGAGAACAGCACGGACCCGAAGAAGAAGAGCAGATCAGCGTCAGTTAGCAGTTTTTGACGGTAGCTAACCTTGAGAGGAAGAGAGGGAAGGGTTCGTAAATCTTAATGCTGATTGGGAGCGCTCGTCCTCCAGCCTTTCCGTCCTCCCCATATCCCACCTTTCTTGTTTTCCTCACCTCCCCCCCCACCCACACACAGAGCATTAAAAGGTGATTAGCAAGTCTGTTGATGAAACACATGCGGAGGGGCAGTATTGATTTAATTTAGAACACTACCGAGTTCAGGGACCAGGAGATGGAGGCTGCATTTGGAGTATAAATCAAACCCCAAGCATTGCAGGAGGTGCGAGCAATTGAAAGGATAAACCCGGCGGTCCGATGTCATGCCAGAGATCTCCCCTCTCTCCCCAGCCGGGCACTGGAAGTCTAAACACAAGCGGAGTGGAGCCACGCGGGGACTGGGAGAAAGTTTGCCTATATATATATATATACAGTATATTGCGTGTTCACTTGGAAATTAGCATTCTGGTTCTCAAGCAATAAAACTGATCATGGTGAAAATGGTCTCGCTTTCTCTGTCTTGTTTGCTTTACTTAGCAGCGGGTTGCTTCTCTCGGGGTCTTCGCTGCAAGAAGTGTCAAATTGCATTTCTAAACGGAGATGAATTGGTCCCGGCCTCTTTGATCTTCCCAGCTACTTGTTACCATAATGCCTAACGGGGGCATGGAGAGGTACTTCACTCTGCACATGCTTAGACGCATCTCAATATCTTCACTCCTTCCTAGGTTTCAGAGCTTCAGAGCTGTTTTATTTGAGCCTGCCCCAAATGAAGCAGGTTAGATTACCCTTTTGTCCCGATTTGAGGCAAGGGGAATAGAGAGTTTTCCAAAGTAAATTTGCAGGTTTACTCCGAAGTAGTGTAGGTGCCTTTCCTGTCCAATCCATAAACCGGTAAATCCGTGAAGCGTTAGAGTGGAATCTGGGCGAAATAATTTACAGTCGAAATTTGATACAAACTACCCTAACAAACTCGAGGTCAGGCTGCTTCGGATCCTATTGAATTTCTCTGGTGGCCATCCTGATCGGCTTAAATTAGTCTTTAAGGGCGCTGCTGTTTAAAGTCTAATTTAATAAGCAGCGCTCTTCTTACCCATATTTACTAGGAAGCCCTGTACACTTGTAACATCAGTATATATGATTATGTACAAAAAGGTTAAAGTGGAATAGTTGGATTTTAACGGGATTTATTCCCAAACTGTTGGTATGAAATTGCAGTTCCATGGGCTAGAGAGCAAAATCTGAATTAGTTTAGGGAGGCGGGCCGGTTCCAGTAAACTCAAACGACGTCCATCCACAAGGACTCTTAGGAGTTTATCGCATTTTATATTGTTCCATCTAAAATGGACCGTCAGTGGATTAACTGCAGTAATTTCGAAAGACTGTATTTAAGACTACTACATATTCTTAATGGAGAAAATACATCCGTGTCTTACACAGTATATCTCTTAACAGCCGGCTGACTATGAAGTGGTGGTCGCTTTTAAGCGATTGCAGGGGGAAACTGGCTGGGTTGTTAGAATCTGGATTATTAAAAAATTTACGAGTCGACACGTGCGTGTTGACTCAACAGGCTTGAAACTAGAGAGTCCTAATAATAACCGGTGAGCAAAGAGAAAAAAGGGAGAGGGATTCGTGAAGGTCCCTGGGGAGCTGCGGTAACCTGCCCCTGTGGTACTTAGAGGATAATCCCAGCCGCTTTGAAAATGGAAGCAAACGGTTGGCTGAGCTCCCACTTCAAATGCCTGGCTGGATTAAAAACGGGAGGGAAATCTGGTGTCTTTTTTTTTCCCCTCACACAACACATTGTCATTAAACAGTACTGCATTTTCGTAATCTGAAACCAATGGGAAGATCTTCAGTAATAGCCGGGTTGCCTCTTAGATTCTTTAGAAACAGTCTCTTCTTCTTTTTGCTTAAAAACTAACGGAAACGGACCCTTGCACGCAAACCCTAAGGCAACCCACCAGCTGCGCATGACGGCCCATGATCCCAGGACCTGGGAAGAGGAAGCTAAATACTGTACTGGTTCTGATTGTGTTCTCTGGGGGAAAATAATCAAGCCCACACACCCAAGTCTTAATGGCTTTCTCAAGACCGAACTGCCCTCGTCCAAAGATTTTGCACAATACCAGGGATAACTCGCAGTATCCTTGTGGAGCCCATATATTCCCTTCCCAAAACCACCCTGAAGACTGCAGCTTAGCCTTTGGGAGGTGTTAAATGATGCCATCACCTCTGCTGATCAAAAGGCCCAGTCCATTGACCCCTGGCGTCACTACACCGTTTCATGGAATACGCCTGTTCTCTCTTGTTTGATATGGGCAGGTCTTTACAGTCAGTTGGTCAGTGAAGCATAAACCTGAGCCTGTTTTCCATATTTTTCGTATAGGGTTGTCTTCGATGCTATGCAACGAAGCTGACCAAGACTGAAAATCATCCAACTATCTATGAATCGAAGCCCGGATTAAGTGTGTGTGTGTGGGGGGGATTTCCCTCTGGTCAATATAAGCAGTTGTTTTAGGTGTGGAAATACTCCTAGTTCTGCAATTCACAAAGGTAACGAATTTAAAAAGATGAGGGACGCACCTTAAGACAACCCGGTTCACGGCCTCAAGAATTGAGACGCAGGTTTACGCTTCATTAACCGGCTGTCACTGTCATCAACCAGCTTGCAAGCGAGCGCTCAAGGACGTGATTTGCATAAAGGATTGCCGCCAATACAGATCGCACCCTCACACCTCTGTATTTCGGCAAGCCCCACCCCGGGGTCTCCCTTTCTCCTCCTCCCCCCACCAGATAATTAAAGATACACTTCCCTCGAGCTTTATTTGCGGCCCCCCGTACCTACGTGTTATACTTATGCGCCGTCAAGTTGGAACCGAGTCACAGCGACCCTATCAGAGCTTTCCAGGTAAGTGGAATGTTTAAGGTTTTATCAATTCAACTCTCCCAGTGAGTTCCCATGCTGAGCGGGGATTTGAACCCAGGCCTCCTGAGCCCTAGTCTTTCACTCTGTCCATTACACCACATTGGGTATTCACCGTTTCTAAATACCCTGCTTGTAAAAGTCCTCCTCCACCACCTCCTCCTGCTTCTCCACTGCTGTTTATCTCCACGTTGACTCTAGCAAGGTTTATTCGAGTCGCTTTTGATCGCTTTTTAAAGCATGTTCAAGATGCCCGGGAACGCAAGAAGGAGCGACCTGACACTAATTATTGTCATGTTTAACATGTGATCACGTCATATGGGCGAACAGCCAGCCACCGTCCTCAATCCGGTGCCAATTTTATTTCTTTTGCACCCACCACTGATCATACAGTATATATCCCAAGGGTGGTGACTTCATCCCTTTGAAAATTAAGCGGTGATCAATCCACTCCCAGCGTGTGCTAAATCAGTGGTTGCCATCCTTTGGCCCCTTACGGAGGTTTGTTGGTTTTGGACTACAACTCCCAGAATCCCTGACCATCAACCATAATGGCTGCGGTTTCTGGGAGCTGAAGTTCATAAGTTTGGAGGGCCGTTTGAGACCCTTTGGGCTTTGATTCGGCCGAAAAAGAAGCGTTAGAATGCGAATGAGAAGCCCAAAGCCTCGACTTGCTCTTTGGGAAAGAGGGCTGAGAACGACATGTGCAGAAAAGGTTACGTTTTTGGACAACAATTCATTAAAAAAAATACCGCAGGGCATCATGGCGCCCTCTCTGTGGGTTAAAATACTCTGAACGCTGAAATCCACAAAAGTAACATTCCCGCCTCTGTTGAGAACATGGCGACACGAACTGAACTTTCGTTTTCCTCGGGGATCGTCCTTTGCTAAGTCTATTCACGTGTAGTGAATAATCAGATTGGGCACGTCTGAACTTGCTATGGCTTGAACGAAGTCCGCTTAAAACCAGGAGTGTTGATTTTTTTTAGAATGATGTGTTTGGTGGGGGAGCTGTGCCCCCGTCTTCCAATCTCCATTTCCTGCAAAATGCCTTTTCTGGGTTTCTGTCTCAAAACCCAGGGCTGAGGAGGCTCCAGCTAAGCTTTGCCAGCCGCAGATATTTCTCATCCTTCCTGTGAGAATGGGTGTGTTGGAAATACAGTAGGTCGAAAACAAAGATCGCTTGAGAGGAGTGAGGAAACCTGTCAAATTATCTGAGCGGCCCTGTAAAAGGATTGAGCGCTTTATAAAAGGGGGGACGCTGCTAAATGGTTATACAGATCTTGCAACCCGTTTATGTTCACACGTGTTATTTCCTGAATAGGCTCTTACACGGGTCTCTACCTCCGCCACAGTAAGAAAAAATTGCTGTCGGCACGCACTTATTTGGGAGTAACGTTAATTGCACGTAGGGTCGCCCACTTGTAAGTCAGTCAGTATGTATGGGATTGGACTGCGCGGCTGGAGAGGATCCCCTTATTAAGCACCATGAGCCTTACTTGTAAGTAAGCGCATTTCCGCTTGCGGTTGCAACCTATAGTATTTGGGGAGGAAGGCGGTCCCGCGGCTTAGTGAGTGAGTGTAGGTGTCAAACAAGAGTGCTAGGATCCTGGCCTCTCCCGTACTGAACAGGCGCACTTCGAAGTCTCCCGGTCACCCGTTGCCTTCAATGCTGGCGATAGGCACTTTCCCCTCTTGGTTTCAAGCCGATGTCGCTCCGATGCTGGAAGCAAATGATGCTGGAGTTTACTTTGAAGCCAGCTTCACTGCGTTCCACCGGCTTTCGTCGCTAGCAAGTGCGCGTAAGACAGCAGCCTAAAAAGGAATTTATGTTTATGATGCAGGCGACAGTACTATCCACCTTAACAGCCTCAGTGGTTTGTGACTTGGACTGTAATGCGATTTTTGCTCCTTAGATTGTTCTGGGATGCCGATCCGAGACCTGGATACAAACTCAGAGCCTTCTGGACCCGAGGACCTGCTTTGCTTCCACGCCCCCTAGCCTGCCCTCTTCCTCGAGGTCTTACCGTCCTACCGCAGTAGTTCAGAGCAGGTGGTTTGGTTTACTTGAAACAAACCCCGCCCGACAAGGAACAAGGCCCCCTCCCCGTTTTGGTCTTCGGTCCTTCTAGGCCCCCCTTCCCGAAAAAGACTGGAGACTGACTTTTTAAGGAAACCCTGCTAGTTACCGGCTCTAGGGGATAATAACGTTAACTTGGAAAACCTCGCTGCGGAAGAGAACGCTGGAGACGAAGAGTTCTGTGCGACTCGAAAACTACTGCCTTATTCAGCGAACGTCGTTGTTAGCGTTCGTTTGGAATACTTAAACAAAGTTTATGCACATGCTTTTAAAGAGCAGGGGAGACGTCTACCTCCCGGGCTCAAGCTTCTGTCTTGGAGTTTACTGCGAGATGAATCCACCACCACCTCCAGTCCCGGATGAAGCTGTAAGTGAAGCTCTTAAGACCTCTTTCCTGGAGAGAAGTGTAGCCAAGTGAAGGATCGAGCACTAAAATCTGTGCTAGCCCTTAAAGCTACATCCCATAGCTCTCAATGGCTCCTTGGAAAGCGGATGGCGA